TCTTTCAACAATCTGTTGGAATTGCCATGGATGCCCATTGCGCCCCGTTGCTAGCAGACCTATTTTTGTGTTAATATGTAGCAGAATTTATTAGAAAAACTTCTACATGAAAACAATTGTCGTGACCTCCAACTTGACAACCTAACAACCAAGCTTTATGATAAACGTGATGACTTCGATTTTCAATCGTCAATGTAGCATAATACCCTCATCACCTGCATATGAGGTTTATGTCTCTCAGTGGATTCGATACGTAAGAGTATACTCTCCGTACGAACATTTTCTAAAAAGAGGCATATTTCAAGTTAAAGACTACACCTTGTATTTCCTACAAATATATATCGACTATTGCTCCCAAACTTTTTAATTATAAGAAAACTTTACAGGGCCTGGATATCGAATATCTGAAACATAATCATCCATCGTGTTCATGTTCTTCTTCAACCTTTAACTATAGTCCTGCTGGACACGTTATTACTGGTGACGTAAATATAGTTAATAATGAGGACCTTAGATCACTAATTTTAAAAGGTCCTAGATATAGGGAACCCCGATCCTTCAACTGGCGTCGGAATTTCATAAATATTATGGATTCTGTAGAGGACTATGCCAGGCGATGGGCCAGACATGAAAAAGAAGACCTTGACACTTTGTCAGAATGGATTAAATGTATGATGTATGTTAAAATCGCGCATAAAAAGATTGAGGGGCAATATGAGAGCCATCTATCCTTCTGTATTCAGTAATCCAGAAGTGAAAAAAGAATTACGCAGTACAGTTAAGGTGCGCAATGGAAATATCGGCAATTTTTGTGATTGAAAATATATTCTTAATCAGGATGGTGATTCTTTTCAGTACTTTATTGATATCCGACAAATTTAATTATGGTTAATAACTACACATTGAGGACGATAAGATTTTATATTAAGACTTGTCACGTGATTCAGCAGTCACGTGATATACCACATACACTTGCAGTATTGAGGTCACCTATAAATTTCACTAGTGCAAGGGCATAATCAAGTTAAAATTTTAAATTTAGTGTATAAATATTTTCAACACGCATCGTAGTTTCTGAAAAGTGCTGCGATTATCTATAGATTCTGCTATTTCATTGTTAAAATCAAATTTATATGACCGCATTCTGTATTTTTTGCTGGACAACGGCATAAAATATAGATATAATTAATTCAGTTTCAAGATTTCACCAGGATCACAGCACTTTTCAGACACTTTAATACTTCTAGAGTTTATATGTAAAAGGTTACTGTGATCCATTGAGTGTATGCCCTTGCACTAGATCGATTTATTAAAACCCTTACATTATCCTCCGATGTACTTGCATACAAATATACGGCAGTATCAATTAAATAGGAAATATACGGAATATATATGAATAAAATTATAAAGAAGACATTGCATCCAAGTTAATGGCCTCTTAAATATATTTAAATAATATTTTATTTAATTATAGAATACATTTTTCGTTGTGAAAATATTCCTTGATCCACCTCTCACTGCATACAAACTGCGTCAGGTTTTGCGAAATGACGTCACATCGACAAGTGCATCTCGATCAGTGACTTGTTTATACCTTGCTATGTGGAATTTAACTAAAGACAAAACAGCATGTTATATTAAGTTTAGATGTAGTTTGATGGTTCCTATAGTTTAAAATAGCAAATCATTTCATTTTGTAGTACTTTTGAGAATTGTTGGTTTTGTATGATGTCATACTTAATATTTCCCGTACAAATTAGGCTCCGCCCCCTATTTGTAGCCTTAACTGTGCTGCGTAGATAGATTACATGGTCACTACGTACTGGTCCCTGCTGACAAAGCAGGTAACAACACTGTCTTTGTTTGTAAGGCTCATTATATTAAATCTATTTTAGAGGAACTTGGATTTGATTCTACAAGTGGTAATCCAACTTATACTCATAGTTCTCTTTCTAAGGAAGAAATTCTTCAAAATCATATGTCAGTTTTGAATATTTTTAATATTCCAAACAACCAAAATGAATTTGAATTACCATATTTATATTGGATTCCGAAACTTCATAAAAATCCTTACAAACAAAGATACATAGCGGGTTCCAGTAAATGTTCAAACAAGCCTCTTTCTTTACTCCTCACTAAGATATTAACAGTAGTGAAGGAGAAACTTCAAGAGTACTGTGCAACAATATATTGGAGAAGTGGTGTAAATCAGATGTGGATACTTAAAAATTCCAAGGAACTTTTGGAAAATTTGAAATCACAAGATTTTACTAAAATCAACAGCTTAAAAACTTACGACTTTTCAACTTTATACAAATTATTAAATGGGATTGAACTCTTTTAAAACTGTGTCCCATATAGAACCAAAAGAGTGACTTTTTATTCTGTGCGACGCAGCTGCCAGTATCATTTCATTATTCTGTGTACTCATGAATGAATAAGTACCGAACGACACGTATCCTCGGGGACAGACTCTCCACCATCAGAGATACATATTTTGTGGTTTAGATGGAATATGTAGACAACGAACAGTATTCAAGCTCAAAAGTTCATTCAGTCAATACAAATCAGGAGCAGAGCAAACCCTGACCTCTAAAATGTAAAGTGATAGTGGAATATAACTACATAAATAAGGAAAGTTGACAAAGGAAAGGCTGAAGTCATCTCTTGTCTTACAATTTAGTTGTTAGTTGGCCCTTATCGTCTCTATTCAGTAAAACATCCAATCATTAATAAAAATGTGGCAGACTCTGTGATGTGTTTTATTTCATGTTCATTAGAATATATCTAGTCGAGATATGAATGGAAGAAATTATTGTTGATTAAGCATCGTCAACTTATCAGAATGTCGAGTAGAAGGCTACAGGAAATGCTTTCTTCTGATTAAAAAAAAATTTCTGCCTTATGGAAATATAAAACCAATTTGGATAATCAAGGAGCACAGGTAGTGACCATTGGATTTCAAACAGTTTGTTGGAAGACTTAGACTCCGAAGACTACATAAATTTATGAATGAGAAACTCCAGTTTACTTTTAATATCAACTCAAAAGTACTTTTGTGTACAATAAGATTTACCTTTACCAAAGTAAGGTACGACAATTACGAGTTCGATTTTTATTGAAGATGCAGTTTTCTATGATATCAAAGAGCCAAGTATTTATCATGAGAAATGGTTGTGAGAAGTGTAGAAAAACCATACGTTTTGATGTAAATGACTTTTGAAAAAGAAATTGGCGAGATAAGTCAAGCCATATGCCTCAATAAATTTATTTCTCACAAATTCCACTTTCTGTTAAATTGAGGTAATGTTTATTACCTATTGCATATAAAATTGATAATGTGTGAATATAGTAACTGCAAAGTTGATTATGATTAAAACAACAAAATTGCAACACGCTCAATTTTCGAAAAAAAAAAGAAAAAAAAAAGAAGATATAAATTGGATGCTATAAGTACATTCTTAAATTAGAGTGGGTCATTGCTGTATTTTTTTAGAACAAAAATGAAAGGCAGTAAGATACTTCTTTTAACACTTGCAAAAATTTGGTACGAAGACCCACTGTACACAAAAAATTAAGTTTATTTACTTAAATTTTCATCACTGTCGTAAAAAAGTCCAAATATGCTTGCTAAATACGTAGAACTGTCTGCCACTTAAATGGCATTGTATATGTGACTGCGTGTTGCAGTGGCCATGAGGAGCTGCTAAAACGGACGTTTAACGAGGAAAGTGTTTGAATCATGCTCGGATGTTTCGGTTTTTTGTTTAGTTTAAATTAAGGTGATTCTGATAAGATAGATAACTTTCCAAGTAAAAATCCTGATGTTACTCATAGTTTACTTTACAGTTCACATCAGTAATTTAGACTGAAGGGTAGTAAATTCGGTCAAACCTGACATATGACGGAAACAATAACTTCTATTTCCTATTTTTGTTTTTATACTTTTGCCTATACAAATTGTTTTATTATATTTGACAGAAAAATTTTAAATCCAGTTTTTAAACCCTTTAAAATTGAATAAGCTCTCTCTTTTATTGGCGATTTTAATATAATATGCTTTAATGTATCAAGTACCAAATGAAGAATTTTTATTAGTATTACATTTTTTCCAAAGAAAAAAAATATTTATAAGAAAGATCACTCTTGCTAACGGATGTATTCTTTTCTTGAATTCACATACATGTATACCATTGTGATATTCTGACTTAGGAGGCTTTATTATGTTTTCTAGTATAAATTAAATAGGTATTACACAAAATATTATTTTCATGTACACCTCATTTTTGGATTTTATGTTGCGATAATTAATTATTGCTTTTCCTATTCTCTGTCTTAATATTTCTTCATATCATGATCGATCTGACATAAAAATCGTTTCTGAAAAATAAGCAGCGCTTCATACCTCATACTTTTTTTTCATTTGAATCTGATGAAAATCAATGTTTGGAAGTTTAAAAATGTCTGTGAAATTAAGAGCAGAGGTTCATTAGTCTTCAAGTAGAAATGTTGCTAAAGGAATAAAAAAAATCACTGCAAATAAAATATATTAATGTAATAATACACCCTTTATTAGTAAATTATTTAAAATGCCGGAAAAAAATATAATAAAGATTGGAATAAGTCTATTCCCGGTTTTATTTTTACTACAATACAAGCCCTTCGAACCAAAAGAAAACATATATCATTATACACATTGTGCACATATTTATAATATCTACACAAAACATGTTAACACTTAATATACAGATTACAGAATGGAAGTCACTACTCGATTTACACATTTTGTGGCATTGTGGCAATAATGAAGGTCTTGTGTTTATCTTTACAATATCTATAATCTAGATATCCTTATATTTACAAGTATTGTACACATTCAAAAGCCTACGTCAATTCGTAAAATTGAAATATTTCTGATATAGTACATGCATAGCCACAAAATTGACATGGGTATCTGCATTTATATTCGTTCCTTGAATTTTGTTTAGGTTTAAAAGAAAATGCCCTCGAAAGTGATCTTTCTAGCAGTGTTCTTGTTTTTCACAGGAAGTGCAGGTAAAATGTTTTGATTTTTTCTCTAAAAATACATAGTCTGTAGAGCCATTTAGTACAATTTGTGACATTATGTATTAATGTACCACTCATAATAATGCAGTTTAAAAAAATGCGTTCAAATGTTTTGTAAACTACTTGAAATATGAAGATAGCGACCAGTAATTTAGCTTTAAAGTACATTGAAATAATGTCAATTTGGAGCACAGCAAATACCGACCTATAAAAAAATCAGAGGTTGGATCATGTGCCATGAAGAGTAAGCATTCCCTGTTCACCCGTCACACGCGCCGTGTGCTCCTTGTTATGAACAAGAAATATCATTTCCGTGCCTGAGACACTGGTTGATTTTTGTGCTTATTTTTTCGTGTAAAGTAATGTATCTTTAATAGGAAAATTCTAATAGTAGCAATGTAGAATTAGTCATACAAGTGTTGGAAGTTTATTTACGATATTTATACATAATCTAAAGTGTTTTACATACGGATTTTAATGAGAAAAATTGTTTAATAGTTTAATAGTATCAAACGAATTTACTTCATAATTATTTTATAATATTAACTCTTTCATTTTGTAGATCTTTTTTTAAATTGAAAAATACATTAAATCATTAAAATCCCATACGATTTGTTTACTCTATAAACCTTTTGAAAAAAATACATTTTTCATTATCACTGGTCAAGAATTTCATCTACATGTTTATTGAACATACGCCTTTTATCAAAGTCTGTACTAAAAATGAGCATCACTGAAGAGACATAATTTGTGGACATGCACACCTGGTGCATAAAAATTAGTACCGTATGACATTTACAGTTTAAACGGATCTTTGGCTAAAATTGTAAAAATGATACTATATTTCTTATTTTTTTTATTCTAAAAATCGAAATATCGAAGACATGTAATAATAATGAAACAAGTAAAAGTGCCTATTTTGCCATTTTTACATCGTCAATTTTTAGATACCAACCATTCTGAAAAGGCTGGATTCACACAAAAAACAGAGGACTCTCTCGACAGAGACTTTGAAAGGTGAAGAAAATCTATTGTGATATTCCTTTTCCTAAAAAAAGCTTTGTCTATCTTTCATGATTTCTAAGCAATCAAATGCATATGCAGCTTGGCTAACAAGGGACTGAGATAAATTGGTATACCTATTGTTCTCTTTCCAGTTAATCTAATTTTGAATTTTTTCTTAATAAGTTTCAATCTTTCATGTTAATTCTTTGATTTCCTGAACCATGACAATATGGTATTATGTTCTCATGATCAGCAAGAACAAAATGGATTCAATTGTACAAGTCTTCCTTTGCAGACACAGATATAAGCGAGCTCTTTTTGGACATGAACATGACTACTTCCGACAATATTATAAAGATATTAACCGTCTTAATGACTATTGTGATGTTAGAAATAATGGAAGAATATCATACTCAGGCTGGAAACAGTTGGGATCAACTTCCTATACTTCAGCCGTTAATGACTCAACCAAGTACTATGCATCTCAAGCAAAGAAGGGTATGTGTGTGTGTGATTTTTAATGTTAATAAGAAAAAGTATCATTGACACAGTGCGTGACATTTAATGGATTCTTTCATTTTGCATAAAGTCCAAATATGTAATATTATTAAACAACTTAATCAACGAAGCCAAGTTATATTTAAGGTAGTCCAATCCTCAGGTTCTGAAAATCAGCTTTTCAGTAATTGAAAATTCTCACAAAAATGTCTTGGATTTCACAGAATAACGTGTATTTACCCATGGTATTTCTTCAAAGTTCATCTGTAAAGTTAATCATATTATATAGGGAAAATTATCAAATCTCAAATATATTTTCAGTAATTGCGAATAAAAGCACCAGCTATGGATCTTCTAATTGAACACTGATCAACAAATATATTTTTGGATTCAAAATTATAGGTATCCAGGCATTTTGAGGAATTACATGTTTTGCACACTCATACAATATTTTAGTTCTTCTATTTACTTCAGTTGTTATAAAATACATAATGTAAAAAGTTTGCAAGACATCCCAAATCACTTGTAATTTCATATCATGCTAATAAGCATTGGGATCTAATGCTAGATTAGAGGAAATTTGATTTCTTTAAAAATGAATTTATTTTTTTTGGTACTTTTGTGGGGTAGAATGTCGACTTCTTATAATATCATTTCCAAGACTTCAAAGAATCATATTGAGATGCATAACATTAAAATTGCTGCAAAAAAATATTTCAATTTCAAGCTTTATTTTGAAACTTTTTAAATTAAATAATAGATTTAAGAGTTATCGTTCCTATCTGAGGATCTGATATCCTTAAAGCTAATAAAAGTTATGCGCTGTACTTACCAGTTTCATTGCCACATATAATGTTATGAATTACGTACTGTTCCAATGTAGGCTCGAAATTTCTTAAATAAGGCAAATAAAAGATATTCATGTAAATACCATACAATGGTACCTGATTTTGATGAAACTTTGCCTATTATTACAACTTGACACCAGAAACATAATAAAATTTTGTTGCTACTTTTCGTGGCTCCCGTGGTAACAGTCAGAAAAATTGGAAAAATTGAGATTTTCAGCTACTTTGAATCTTTATTAAGCCTTAATGAAGACTAAGAAAAACAAACAAACCATTCTCACAAAAACATGACACCTTATTGCCACTTATGCTATAAAGAAATATTTAGAATATATCTCTAAGTAAGTGGTAACCATGGGTACATTTGGAATACATTTTAGATGCTGAAAAATGCTGAAAAACACTCAATATTCACTAATGATAGGTGTTAAATGATCAATCAACAACCTAAGAAAAACAATAAAAATATTTGACCTTAAGTGATTAGGTATTGGCAATATTATTCTAAAAATAACTTTCATGTTTGCCATGGTAACACAGTGTAACCATGCAAAATCTGTTGCTAAGATTTGGTTAATGCTACTATCTTGAGGAAAAACAATATAATTCATGATTGGCACATATACATCCTTAGGACCTTGCAACACTAACAACATAAGAAAATTCGGGATTAATTATTACCTTGCAGTGTAACCATGGAAACAACATACCAGTTGTTTAAAGTGATATTTTTTGTTGCTTTAGGAATTTACACACCCTTTTATCAAGAAACATTATTTGACTCACCTTGAATAATACTTATCTGGTAGAACTAAAGCTGAATATCATATATTGATGAAAAATACAACACTGTTGCTATGGTTACCAAGAAGGGAAAATGTTCAATTTGTTAACCTTTTATCAATATTAAACTCCATGTGCCAGTTTTTGCATCCAGTTAGAGATTGGGTGGTAGTCAAAATTGAAAGTAAAGTTAGTTGGCTAATTTCCATAGCAACGCTCTATTTAAAGAATTTAATTCAAATTTTTTGAAATGTGAAAATTAGGGTCACACCAACGCCTTTAAAAATTGATCATCAGTTATATAGAAATATGCTTTTTAAAAAGATAGGATAAGATTAAAATACTAAGAGAGTAAATTTAAAATCCCTTCGTCGTATTAAAGCCATGGCAACTGTTGCCATTTATAAGAAATATCATATTTCGCCCTTGGTATATGTTACAAGGATCTTTTGTCTATTATTTGTTTGCATTTCAACCTATAATTGTTTTTATTCTTAAGTGTATGACTTTATACAATTAAATGAACAAAATTATTACTTTTGCATACTTTGTTTCCATAGTAACGCATGTAATAGTTGATTTACCAAACATGTTTATCATGCATTTAAGACGCCAGGCCTTCAACTTTCAGAAACAGTCATTGCTACTTGTTTGCTTGGCTGCAATCATTTACTATGGGACTCTAAACATGTTGAAAAATGCCATTTTTCAAACTTTAGGACATGTTGCTATGGTAACCATGACACGAAGCAACCAAGTTTTGCCTGATTTGAGTTTACGGTATCAAAGACGTTTATCATAGAGAGTTTGGAGTAATTCTGAGACTATGCGTGCCACAGCTCCTATATAAAAGTTCAAGTCATTATAGATACACATGTAATGACTCTTAAAATGTAAACTGTAGTTTGTTTTCTTTCATTGTCTGCAAAACAATCAAAATTAAGCAGTCTGAGTATTTTGAGAAATTTTCGTGTTTGCCATTTTGAATCGCAAGTTAGAGCTATTAGCACAACTTTCAAATTAAAAGGTTAAATTCTATGATAATGTAAGTGTTGGATTGTCATTTTTGTAGCTGGAATACGCTCAGTAAGATATTCATGCATTTTTTCTCCTATTTGAACGACATTTAGAAATAATAAGAGAAATTGGATGTCCGCCAATTTGAATCGCCATGTTGACCTTTTTAACGTCATTTTTTGGAAGACCAGCATATTTTTTCGGATTCAGGATACACGAAATAAGTTAAAAAATTATTCTTCATCAAATAATAAATATTTGCCGTTAAAAGTTATCTCTAGCCTTCTTTTTCAAAATCAGGACCAGATTATAACAGTTATTTCGAGTTAACTGGGATGTATCAAGTCGACATAAAAATGAAAGCATTTTCTTAATTGATTAAACATCATCAATATGTCTAATGCAAAAGGTGAAGATAACAAACATTTATCGATCTTAAAAAATCTCTAAACAAAACAAATCTATGAAAAGAGCTTAAAAGCGAACCCCTGGAAATTATAGAGGTGGGATTAGGTGCCTAGCAAGACCAGTTGACCAGTCATACATGTACCACCGTGGGTAAGGATAAAGGAATAAGGAAAGTTGACGATGGAAAAGTTGAAATCATCTCGTTTGTCATGCAGTTAAGTTGTTAGTAGGCCCCTGTCGTCTATAGTCAGTAAAACATCAAATATGAAACAGATATGAGAGACCCTGTAGTGTCTTTAATTTCAAGTTCACTGGGATATATCGAATCGATATGTGAATGAAAGCAACAATTATCAATTGATAACACATCGTCAAAATATCTAAATGTCGAACTGTAGGCCACAAGACGTACCATCTTCTTCTCTTGTAGGAGTTTTTGAATAAATTCTTCTTCATAGAAATATAAAAACAGGTCAGCTAATCAAGGAGAACAATTAGTGCACATCGAAATTCCAACAATTTGTTGTAAGACATGGTCTTCAAAGAATATTTATCATTATTTAAACATATTTGTGACGTAAACCTTTTGTTTGATTTGTCCATTCTATAGCTTTATGTTGAGCTAACTCCTCAAAGAATCCAGTAAGTTATCTGTAAGTGTCCATTCTTTTTGGAAAACTATCTTTTTTTAAGAATGGACATTTTTTTTCAAAAAAAGAATCGAAAGTAAAAACAAACAGAATGGGGATATACAGGTAAACTCTGGAATGTGCCCGAGAGGGAAACAAAAAACAAATACATATACATTAGTTATGCTTTAATTAACATATAAATAACACAAAAAACTTGGAGATCTAAGATAATCCAGAACACATTGTCTGCACAGTATACGCTCGATTTAACACTTTTAAATCCATGAAAGATGTACATTAATACTCAAAACTCAATATTCACTTAATTAAATTCAAAGCTTGAAATTAAATGATATAATTTCACATTTGATTTAAATTTCAGAAATACTATTCCCTCTAGAAGAATCCACTTTAAGATTGAGGTACAGGGAATATAAAATCAACCACCCAGAACATAGTTTGCTACATATGAACACTACTATTTCCGTAGAAAATTATTAAAGTTGAAACATTTTCAGATTTGATTTGAAATACATTCTCATGTCGAAATTCGGCTTATGGCTAATCCAAAACTCAGAACGAATTTGATCATTTGAATTTTGTCGTCTAAGAAGTTCATTTTTTAGGTCACCTGAGTCACTCAGGTGACCTATTGCTATCCGTTCTCGTCTGTCGCCGTGCGTCGTGTGTTAACATTTGAACATTTTTAGCTTCTTCTCTGAAACCGCTAAACCAATTTCAACCAAATTTGGCATATAGCATCTATGGGAAAAGAGGAACTAAAATTGTGAATTTCATGGTCCCTGCCCCCCTTGGGCCTGAGGGGTGGGGTTAAAACCACCAAAAATAATGCAATCTTTAAAAATCTTCTTCTTTACTCCTGGACATCAATCAGTCAAACTGTTGGCATCATTGTAATAACAATTGAGCCCTCTACCAAAATTATGAAATTCATGGCCCCAGGGTCAAGGGTTCTGGCCCCAGGGTGGTGCTATATAGATCATATGGTGAAAGTGCATAATTTCTTTGAAAATCCTCTTCTCTGCTCCTGGGTATTAAATAAAGTAACTAAGTACATAGTTATGAAGAGCAAGAGTGCCTCTTCCAAAATTGTGAAATTCATGGCCCTAGGGTCAGGGGTTCTGGTGTTAGGTCGGGGCTCTATTGATAATATAGTGAAAATGCATTAATTCTCTGAAAATCTTCTTCTCTGCTCCTGGGTATTAAATAAAGTAACTAAGTACATAGTTATGAAGAGCAAGAGTGCCTCTTCCAAAATTGTGAAAATCATGGCCCCAGGGTCAGGGTTTCTGGTGTTAGGTCGGGGCTCTATTGATTATATAGTGAGAATGCATTAATTCTTTGAAAATCTTCTTCTCTGCTCCTGGGTATTAAATAAAGTAACTAGGTACATAGTTATGATGCGAAAGAGTGCTTCTACTAAAATTGTGAATTTCATGGCCCCAGGGTCAGGGGTTCTGGTGTAAGGGCGGGGCTCTATTGATTATATAGTGAAAATGCATTAATTCTTTGAAAATCTTCTTCTCTGCTCCTGGGTTTTAAATAAAGTTACTAAGTACATAGTTATGATGAGCAAGAGTACCTCTTCCAAAATTGTGAATTTCATGGCCCCAGGGTCAGAGGTTCTGGTGTTAGGGTGGGGCTCTATCGACTATATGGTGAAAATGCATTAATTCTTTGAAAATCTTCTTCTCTGCTCCTGGATATTTAATAAAGTAACTAATTACATAGTTATGATGAGCAAGAGTACCTCTTCCAAAATTGTGAATTTCATGGCCCCAGGGTCAGGGGTTCTGGCCCCAGGGTGGGGCTCTATCGACTATATAGTGAAAATGAATTAATTCTTTGAAAATCTTCTCCTCTGCTCCTGGGCATTGCGGTGATAAACTAAGCACATAGTTATGATGAGGAGGTGGGCCTCTTCCAGAATTGTGAAAGCCATGGCCCCAGGGTCAGGGGTTCTGGTGTTAGGGTGGGGCTCTATTGATTATATAGTGAAAATGCATTAATTCTTTGAAAATCTTCTTCTCTGCTCCTGGGTATTAAATAAAGTAACTAAGTACATAGTTATGATAAGCAAGAGTGCCTCTTCCAAAATTGTGAAATTCATGGCCCCAGGGTCAGGGGTTCTGGTGTTATGGCGGGGATCTATAGATAATATAGTGAAAAAGCATTAATTCTTTGAAAATCTTCTTCTCTGCTCCTGGATATTTAATAAAGTAACTAAGTACATAGTTGTGATGAGCAGGAGTACCTCTTCCAAAATTGTGAATTTCATGGCCCCAGGGTCAGGGTTCTGGTGTTAGGGTGGGGCTCTATCGACTATATAGTGAAAATGAATTAATTCTTTGAAAATCTTCTTCTCTGCTCCTGGGCATTGCGGTGATAAACTAAGTACATAGTTATGATGAGGAGGTGGGCCTCTTCCAGAATTGTGAAATTCATGGCCCCAGGGTCAGGGGTTCTGGTGTTAGGGTGGGGCTCTATTGATTATGTAGTGAAAATGCATTGATTCTTTGAAAATCTTCTTCTCTGCTACTGGAGATTATTTAAACAAACTAAGTGCATGATTTTGATAGGCAAGGATGCCTCTCCCAAAATTTTTAAATATATGGCCTCAGTTTTTGGTGTTCTTGAGGAGTGGGGGGGGGGGTATTGATTATATAGTGAAAAAGCATTAATTCTGTTCATTAATCATTAATTAATCCTGTCTGCTCCTTAGTGTTGAGCTGATAAATAAATTGCTTAGCTATGATGAAAATGAGAGTTTCGAACAGAATTTTTATATCTTTTGGTCCTAGGGTCAGGGGTTCTGGCATAACGAGGGGGGTGTGGGTGTGATAATATAGTGGAAAAGTGTTAATTCTTTGAAGTCCATAGTTATGATGATGAGGGTAACTCTTCCAAATTTGTAAATGTCTTGACCCTTGGTCTTGGGTTCTAATGTTAGGGTAAGACTTTGTTGAATCTGTAGTGAAAATGCATTGTACCTGTGAAATTCTTCTCTGCTTCTGGGCATATCGGAAGCAAACTAAGTAAAAGTTGAAATGGTATAAGTAAGCGTATTTCTACCAGATTTTGAACATCTGGACCATTTGTCTAAGCATTCTGGTCCTGGGCAGGGCTCTATTAATTTGTATTCTACTGACAGAAGTTATCCCCCTTTTCCATTCACCTTTGATAATTAATCACTGTAAATAATGTATTTGAGAGGTTAATAGAATAAGATAATTATGCAAGAATGTTTATCGTATAATTAAAAAAGTACTTTCTTAGTTTTAATAATCAGGTAGACCTGTAAGTAATAGATAAATAAAAATGAGACAAAAATAACTTATGTTATTAAAAGTTCTTCAAAGACCATCAGAGAGGTCAATGCTAGAGGTCTTAATATGGGTTTAAAAATAGTAGAGAAGCACTAATAGTTTGTTAATAGTCTGCATGGTAATAGTGTTAAGTGGGGGGACAGATTAGAACTTAATTTATGAGTTGATACTGAATACTAGACTAATTATTTTGTTGATCCTGATCTTCCTACTTCTCTTGCTTTAGGGCAACAAAGCTTCATCTATCAATGTATTTAACTTCTGAATTGTTGTATTATACTCAGGTGACCGTTTTGGTAAAAGTTGGGCTAATATTGTGCTTTACTCTTACTATTCTCTGTTTTCAGATCCAAATATCGCTGATTTTGTGTATCTTTTGGTTCATTAGCTTTTGATTCTGTCATATACTCTCTCCATCGCAGGAAAACGTGTATGCCTTTACAATGCAAACTACATACTGATTTTGAAACATCGCATACTTTTCTAAATACTGGAATCCCCCCAAAGCCAACTGTAACTGTCCATTCTTTAGACAAAGACCTTTTGTTATTTTGGATCTAGAAACACAATGACAATTTAGCAAATTGCAAATTGCCTGACTGTCCATTCTGTAAACAACGAACTTGTCATTCTTTGTGTGCTACCAAACAATATCAATTTTTAATATCTGATACCAGTTCTTTTTAATTTCATGACAAAGGACACCATGTTTTCAGTAGTAGAAAGACTTCAAACTGTCCATTCTGTGAGAGAAAAAACTAATCTGGGGCCTACGACCCTCGATTAGTTTCTCTTTCACACAGAATGGACAGTTTTCGGCCTTTCTCCTTTACTTAATAATAAAATACCTGAACTAAATACTCATTTTAGTAATGTTACAATGATTGTAAATTATCATATTTTCAAATATTTTTGATGCAGGTTTTAATGTGAATTACCAGATCAATAAGATCAGGGCGATCATACGTCATCGGAACGAAACCGCTTTTAAACCCCGCATTAAAAAGATAGTACAACTGAATAAGATTGTATATAAACAAGTTGTGGGCCCAGATGAAGGACATAGCCATGTTATCAATCTATGGGTGAAGGGATTGAAGCAAATTGAAAACGGAGTGAAAATGGCCAAGTACAAGTCGCACGCGTACGGGCGCAAGAAAAGAGGCATTCCATTTTTCCTGGCAGCACTAGGGATCGCCGGGTGGGCCAAGCTAAAGATCGCCTTAGGTCTCGGTGGTACCGCAGTTGCAGCCGCTTCATCTGCTTATGCTGGAATATTACTTCAAAATAACCTACGTCGCCAAACATTTTCCAGAGATGTATCTAGTGGCAGTGCATACGGAAGAAGTAGAAGTACAAGTACTGTGAGACGCACAAGTACTATTGGAAATTCCAGAAGAATGCTATGTTAACCTAAGAGACAGTAGAGTCTTAAAATTTGATGTTAAGAAAGTTGAAATTAGATGTTTAATACGAATACTATGAAACAATATTCAAAACTTGACTCTAATATACCTTCAATATATTTTCTTAAAGCTATATATGGCGTATCTGAGCTAAAAAATAAAAATACGAATTTGAGTGTAGATAAACAAGATATATATATTTTACGTTCAAGTTAAAATTTTCACCAATTTTGAACTTGAATAACCTCATGTTACCATAGTTAAAATGGATTTAAACTGTCTGTTAATTAAATGCGGAGTTGGCAAATATACTGAAACGCAAAAGAAACGCAACAAGCAGTAATCTAAACGTATGAAAATCATTCAACCGTTAAATTACCGATATTTACAAAGTTGAAGATGTCCTTACTTTTAGATACAAAATTATATCATATATATAATATTTCTACCTAAAATAGGATGTTGCGTTTCTTTTGCATTTCAGTATAAATCGGTTTTTGTTTTAAATTTCTGATATCGTTGAAACGAGATTGACTTAAATTGTGTAATTTACAGAAAAGTCCTATCTTTATATAAAGTAATAAAACAAATAGAAAGAACTTTTTAGTTTTAGTTAGTCTGAACTTATAAAAAATACGCCATAAATGACTTTAATAATCATATCACAAATTTAATTTCTCTACCATCATTATTTGCTATCCTATTTTGCATATTTTATTGTAATAAAGCATGTTGAAAATTAACAAGCATTTTTTTTTCTTACAACAAAACGATCTTTAATATAGACAAATTCGGTGGTAGTGCAATTAAGCAAATTTGGTGTAGGGCGGCGCTTATTGTTGCAGCTGTGAAAAATAACTCCAGCAGCAACAGAAGACAGCACACGTGTTACTTGGCTTAACAAGTAACCCATAGTGATAATCTTTACAGTACATATAATTAATATGGTCAAGTAATCCGTCTTTTCCCTTTACAGCACTGTTTAGGCTGCAAAAAGAAGGTGGTGTCTAATTTATACGGGGGAAAAGTACTTTGACATCATGCTAAGATAACAAAACCGCACAATACCAAAAAAGTATTGTAATTGTAACTGTATAAAAAATATTAAACTTTATAGGAACCTACCCCAAAAATTCATTATTGTCGGTAGTTAAATCCAATTCGACAAGGTGTGAACAAGTCATTGATCACAAAGCACTTGATATGACGCCATCATTGTAAAATTTAACGCTGTTTATGTGCGGTGAGAGGCGTATCAAGCCATTTTTTACAGTGACAAATACATTTTATTATTGAATAGATTTTTATTTACATATTTTTACAGGTTATTTTTACCAATGCCTAATTTCTTTAATGCCATTATCAAATCATTATCCAGGGAAGGTATTTACGAGGGTTGTTCTAAAAATTTGTGGACTATGCCAATCTTCGTTATACTATCTTCCAAAAATTTAAAATGAGCACATTATCATATGTAAAAATATTTATTCTGTTTAAATATGAAGTTTCATTCCACGTGATTTAATAGAATTAATGTTATTTAATTTTAAAATCAACACGTTTTGTAATCACGGAGCAAACTCAACAACACTGTAACGTCAAAAACATACCGACATTAGGTTCTCAAAAATACTATTTCTATACATTTCACACAGTATTGCCCAATACCAGTGCACTCATTAAAAACGTTTCTCTGTCACTTACTAACAGTTGTCCCAGAATAATTATTTTGTTTGTCAATGTTATATTTTTTTCACTGCATAAGTGTGCTTTCACAAGATTAGCATCTGTGAAGCGCCAAACTCTTATAATGACGTTACAAACATTTCAATGTTTTAGAAGATTTTTACAGATAATCCGTTTTTTCAGAGATCACCATCGTCTAAGCAAAGTAGCCTATCATTCAAATACCATGTACACACACATGCATGGCTCACTTTTGACATATTTCCTACTTCCTCCGGTATTTTCAGAGTTTTTTTTATGGAGTTTTCCAGAGTACAACACAAAATTGTACGGTTAATTGCTGCTGCGTGACGTTCTACGACGTCATCTTTTTGGCTTTTCAATGAGGACTACCTTTCTTCTGAAACTGATTTCTTTTCAACGAAGGAAAATATTAAGTCATAATTTGGAATCAGAAGAGTTGAAACAATTCTTAATTTGAACGTGTAGTATTTTTTCGATTGTGTGTCATTTAACAGAAGATATGACTTCAGACAGAATTTATTGTCTTAATTGTAAATTACGAATTTTTGACCTGCTCCGTGATTCGATTTTATCATTTTAAAAGTCTAAATAAGTTTGAAATAAACCATGATATTTTTATTTTTTTTAATACAAATCATTTGAATTTACTGTTGAAATATTTCTTCCAAATTTGGATATAATATGACGTTACGTAAAAAAGTTATGACGGTAGTCCCCGAAGTTTTCGAACAACCCTCGTATTTGTTTTTGTAAACAGGGTCGGCATCTTTTATAGCAAGGTGTTTTTTCGCAAACACAGCACAGGTAACACTTAACAGATCTTGACTTCTTATTTCTGCTATTACCTTGCTGAATTCGAGAGTATTGCCTATTAAATACATAAAAATAAGAGGCCATGGGCCATATCGCTCACTTGAGCACACTAGCTCAGGAAAGATTTTTTTATTGTAGCCCCACCCAACACATTAGGACACATATCACCCTTATATGCTAATAGTAATAAATGAGAATTATGTCTAAATATACTGAGTATTCAACAACCACACATCTGTATTCAATATCGTTGAATCTTTTGCTATTTAAATGGACTTCCTTAACATCTTTATTGTTGATTCATCATCCAACTTCTACAGCTACCTTCTGAATGCCTGACTTTCCCAAAGCCTTGCCTTATATACCCTTAGGCTAGTCAATTCCAAGGTTTGTCAGGTTATTCCACTATTTGAAGTCGTTTTATTCAAATGCCCCTAAACCATTACACCTATATATTCCCTTATAAACCTTGACCTACTGTTGTGGCCCCGCCCTACCCCCAGAGTTCAGGAACAAACTTGAATCTACACTATCTGAGGATACTTCTGTATTAATATGTCTAAAATGGTTTAGCTGTTCTTGAGAAGAATAAATATTTCCTATATATTCCTATTGTAAACTATGACCCCCCTGTTGTGCACTGCCCTACCCCGAGGATCATGATTGGAACAAACTTCTTTTATAATATGACTAATCACCCCTTACAAAAATACTATAGTTAACTATAGTTTACTATAGTTAACAATAGTTAACTATAGTGATAACGTTGACACTATGAAAACTTTGATATACTATAGTGATAACTTTGACACTTTTATTTACCATAGTGATAAATTTGACACTTTGATTTACTATAGTGATAACTTTGACACTTTGATTTACTATAGTGATCACTATGACACTATAGTGATCACTTTGAAAAATTTGATTTACTACGCAGTACAGTTAAGGCTACACATGAAGACAATATGGTAATGAGGTCATAATGAGGTTTGACGTCATGACAGTTGCTCCGCCTTGATAGATCCATATAAGGAAATAGAGCTCAAAAAAGCCATTTAATGATGATTGCGAGAATTTGTAATGAATGTCTGTATTTTCAGGTTTAAATAAATAAACATTAGTGATTTTCTCTTATAAAGTAACAACACGTCTTCGAAATAATTCCCTTTTTATTATGTCGTTTGGCTGCATTCGGCGTCAGCCAAGCGCTTGCACTCGGTGACACGGAATGTTGTTTACATCTAAAAACGTGGCGACAGCAGCTGAGATATGCAGTGGAGAAATGCAACAATCAGGCAATCTTTAAAGAGAATAGGGATAAAATAAGAGACCTGGGCCTTGTTTATCTTTTTGATGAGAAGATGATGACGTTATTTCGGGAAATCATGGAAAACTGAGACGATCCGCACTACCTCCTTAGGTCCCTTTCTGTTTATTAAGGTGTGTATGTGCATAGTTATTAACATGTAGACATACTATTCTTTACATCGATGTAAAATAACCGTGAACATGCACAGTAAGATGTATTATTACTGTCCGTCACAAACTATGCAATGCAGTGCCTTGTGTGCCCCCCCCCCCCCTACATACACAAAAACACACACATTATGAAAGTTGCAAACTTTTAAACATGCAATGATGTTGTCCTTTGGCATACATGTACAAACATGTAACATAATATAAGCACAGCACGTCATGATACCAAATAGTATAATTTAGATGCAGTCACACTTACAATGTATTTGTGAATTCAAAATGAACAGTGTACAATGTATTTGCACTGTAAATACAAGAGTATAAGACCCTATAAATTTTAATTTATACCTCTGGCAATCAAAAATATGTGAATTTAAAGATTTCAGTTTTTACCAGTGCTTCATATTTTAAATTCATCATAGAACTTTTACTATCTGTCTCACTAGGCTGTAAATTTGTAGAATTTCTACATTAATGAAGATAAAATGTTTGAATTTTCATTTGTCTGACTACATGTACATTAAGTCAGTCTTATATGTATATACATGTATTTATGTGCTGTTTATATGTATAATTCTTTTGTCATTGTAGCTGTCACAGAACTGGTTAAAACTGGCATTTACATCAGCTAGAACTATCAAAATAGATGCATCAATTTCTCCACTGGGTATGATCACACTAAAGCATTTCACATTAATTTTATAGTATGCCAGTGTTAAATTTTTTTTTTTTAATGTTGTATATGTGAAAGAATTTAATGTTATCTCTAGTATATTGATTTTTTTTTTTTACTTAAATTAAGTATCAATCAGATCAATTCTACTTTTGCAAATGTCATAGGTTTTAATTTCCCAGAAAAGTTTAGTATCAAAAGTTTGTTTCCATTTATTTTATGAATTTCAGAAAATATAGTATAGCATGGTTTGTTTTGTACAATGCAATGTCATTTCATTCTACAAAAGTAATCATTATGTTTTTCACTCATTACATATATATTGTATTGTAGCTACTCCCAAACAATTTGAACAATTCATTCAGGCAGCAAGTGTTTCCACCAATAAAATGAAAAGGTATGCTCCATATAAGCTCTAAACCATACATATTCCTAGCAAGATTATTGAAATGTTTTGATAATAAAAATAGTAGAGTCATGTATATGCTTTCCATGTTACTCAATGCATTGTTTTGAGTATCACTTTTTTAAAACACCAATGAACTTTCCATAATGGTATTTCATTTTGTTTTCAGAATTGATTTCATCCAGAAGAACTGTTTGAACTGTGGACTGTTTGAAATATTTTGCACCTGCTCAGAAATCCATTCACAGCCTGCCTTTGAATTTGAAAAGCTGTTTTTAATTAAATAAATTTTCTAGATAAATAATACTTTGAATTTTTAACAGTACAATGGTGTGAAAGTTTGAAGGCTGTTAAGATTTGAATATCTTTACTTGAATGTATTCTGACAGGCGCGTAGCTACCTATACGCAAATACGCAGATGTGTACACATCGTTTTCAAATTAAAAAAAATGGGGGGGGGGGGGGAGGAAAGGAAGAGATTTGTGAGAAGAGAAAAAATATCAATACCATTCAGCAAATATTTGTGTTTCAAATTATTTTATCTCGTACTGTTTCGATTCAAATTCAAATTTTATATTACCATGTCTTTATAAAAAAAAATTGTAATGTTTTATTAAATCATTGCCACAACCAAATAAAACATTTATTAATTTGTAATTCTTCTATAACACATTGATAATTTTTTTAAAGATCTTTGAGAAAATATCAACCATTGAATGCTGTGATCCACTAGAATATGATTTGAAATATAAAATTATTTTGTTAATAATTGAAATTAATTATATTTGTTGTTGAAAGTTAAAAAAGAGTAGATGATACCAATATATCATTTTAAAAGATATTCAGCCTCTGTACAATAAATTTGCACGGAAGTATTTAACTTTGTGATAAAAACAATATTAAGTACTATGTCTTGTATTTTCTAAAGAAAATCGAAATGGCATGATTTTGAATGAAATATTTAGTAAAACCCATGAGCTTCCAGGGACTTTGCCCCTAGGTCCTCGTCAGGGCTTCGCCTTGGACCAACGGGGGTTCTCAAAGCGGACCCCAGCCGTTCTCTGCGTACATTTCACTTCCATTCTGGTTACGCGCCTGTTTACGCGCCTGTCTGTGTTTTTGGGTACCAACAAGATCTAAATTTTAGCATGTATATTGTGCTCACCTGTTCTTTAACAGCTATGTTTCTTGATTACAAAGTTTTACTATGATTATCTTGTTTGCGCATGGATTGATAATAACTAAAAAAAATGAGACTAAAGCCCCCCTCCCCCAATGTGATTTGTGCTAAATACCCCAAAAAGTAAAACCTGATGTAAACACTGTTTAATAATTTATTTTTTACATGCAAGTAAGGTAAATGGCATCAAAGGAAGGGGGGTGTAGATCTGTAGCATAGGCGTCGGAACCGGAGGGGGGGGGGGTAGGGGGGCTCAGCCCCCCCCCTTTTTTTGCAAAGATATACATAATATTGGCATTGAAAATTGGGGCTTACCTTTTTTCGTTGGATTAGCTCCCCCCCCCCCACTTTCAATTAGCCACCCCACTTTTAATTTGCTTCCGACGCCTATGTGTAGAAAGGAAAACAGGTTATTAAATACAGGAGTATCCACCCCAATCCCTTCCTCCTGTTCTTAAAACTTTTCACGTAGTCTAGAATCCCTAAACAGTTGAAGGTTTGATAACTAAAATAATCACATATGTAAAAAAAACAAAACAAAACAAAACAAACAACTAAGTTCTGTTGGAGATATTATGTGTGTGTGTCTACTGGGGGAGAATAAATATTTTATCATTGATAGCGGCTGTCTATTTTTTTATTACAAATGATTGAATCTTTCAATATTTTTAACCATGGGCATTTTCCAATTGATTTACTTGATGCTGCGGCAAATTTTAGGCCTATTGTTGACGAACGGAGGAAATGCGGTAGGTGTCAAATACGTCTTGTGTATCGTATAAAAGAACGAAGATATACAAAATAAAGTAAAGTCAAGGATTTTTTTATGCATACCAATTTGATTTAATGAAATAAAGCCCAGCACAGTCCGTAGGTATTATTTGTTCAAAATTTGCGAGGTACACAAACTCTTTTAAGTATCACAGAGTTATCTCCCATGCTGGGTCAATGATGCGTTTGAAAACTATATTTAGAATGAATGTGTTAAGATTTCAATTTTTAATCAAAAAGTGCAAGGGCAAGGCGACAACCCAAGAGGTAGGTTTTTATTTTAAATTCTTTATTTTACTGTATAGTTTTTAAAAAGTGATGCTCATTTCTTTGTAATTCATTAGGCAATTTAAAATTTCCGATTAAATGATGAAAAATACCCTATTTTTGAATACTGGTGTTTGTTTTCAATGAATAACTTAAATATCTCAGAAATCTGACTGAATGAGCATCAGTTTTTCGATAGGATAGATACTAAGGGACACAATGAAACATTGTACAGTTCAAATATTGTTTGCCTTGCCCTTGCACTTTTTGGTTAAATTTGACATTTCATATTTTGACCTAAAATCGGAGCTCACGTGACTGTAGAGGGTCACATGATGACAAAAAATACCGATGTGAAAAGCGATGGACAAACTCTTCATAAAGCCATTAAGATATTTCAGATAGAGTTTCATGCTAAAAAATAAGACGGTTGAACTTTAAGTGTCTCGTTTTTGGTGCCTTTTTATAGAAAATGTTGCCTTAACTGTAGTGCGTATGGTGATAACTTTGACACTTTGATTTACTATAGTTAACTATAGTATCTTTGCTAGGGATGGCTTTGCTGTTCTCGAGAAAAGGATTTTAAAGACAGTTCCTATATATTCGTATAAAATTCCGACTCCCACTTGTGGCCCACCTCTACCCCCAGGGGTTGTGTTAGGAACAAACTTGAATGTAGTGTATGTTATGAAGCTTTCACTTAAGTTTCACCTTCTCTTGCCCAGTGGTTCTTGAGAAGAAGATTTTTAAAAGAGGCCAACAAATTTTCGGGAATTCTTAATTATCTTCCCTTGAAAGAGGGCGTGGCACAATTGTGAACAAACGTAAATCCCTTCACCCAAGGATGCTTTATGGCAAATTTTGTTGAAATTTGCCAAATGATTCTTGAGAAGAAGTTGAGAATGTGAAAAGTTTACAGACGACAGACGACGAACGACAGACGACAGACGGAAGCAAGACACTCTTTGATAAAAAAAAAAAAAGCAATCGGCTCAGGAGAGCTAAAAGTTGGTTAATAACACACGTATTTCAGGGTTTTTTTTGCCAAATTACTCGAAATTTTAACTAAGAAAATTCAAAATTTATTCAAATAAGCAGCATTTGACAGAAGACACAAGATGTGGAGGAACAATTTATTATTTAATTTTTGATTTGAATAGAGGTATGTTTTTGCAATATTGAAATTTGTTTATAACCTCCACACTATATATATTTATCACGTGACTGTCAAAACAGGTGACAAACTAAGGAATGGGATATACCATGTGATTTCAATTAATACTGCATTCATGTGATAATATAAAAGCTGTATAGAATCAGGGTTAGAAAGCATATTTTTGTACATTTCTTTGTTCCATTGATTTCTTCATAGAATCCTTTTATATAGAACATTTAACTTAAATTTGCCACGAAAGGAATTGACACAGTAAATATTATTAGGATTCGTAACATTCAAAAAGGCACAGCCTTGTATTTCTTTAAAAAATATTGATTTTTGTTTCAAACTTTTTTTAGTATAAAAACTACAGTGCCTAGTTATCGAACAATCAGAAAATAATCCTTCTACTTGTCCATGTTGTTCTTCACCCTTAATAGAATTACCATCAATGGTGACGTGAATATAGGTAATAGTGAAAACCTTTAATCGCTTTTATTCAAAGGGCCAAAATCTAGGGAACCAATTAACTACTAGTATATTCATTTTCATTCCTACTTTGATTCCATTTATCCCTTTGAACTCGAAATAAAATGCTTCATAGGAGCTCGAGTGTAACAACTTATACATGCCTGGATATTTCCCTAGAAAAACACATAAAAGGCTAACAAACAGCAAAACTGTAAGATAAACGGAATGATTGTAACTTGTCTATTTTCAACTACCCTTATTTATGTAGCAGTATACCATCATCAACTGCATTGAGTATTTTTGTGTTACAGTTGATTCGACAGGATTCGACAAGCATGAACATGTTTAATGTCCGAATAATTTCTAAAATAACGCAAGCTATTGACGAATAGGTTGATGATACAAGGATATCAACAGTCTCGCTTAAAGTCCTCATTTTGCCAATTCTACGCAAATACAATGACCTTGATAGCAAATAAAATTATTATTTAATCGAATTTTGACTGATTTCTTTGATACAAAATTTTCAGTTTGATTTTAAAACACCTATTTGTCTCCAATTTTTTTTGTTTGCCCAATCATGACCTGACAACAAGGGATGCTACTTCCACTATGTGATGTTTTAGTATGTATTTGCTCTGCTCAATATGCGTATGTTTTTAAGGGATGTCTAAACTTGATTTCTGTTCGTTATCCCCATATTTCTTTACATTTCAATTCATAGTTAATCATGTTGAAAGGCAACAAGGAAGACGTACAACCTTGTATCTTTATAACATACTTGAAAAGTATCCTGTATAGGGTTGCTTTAAATTACTGTGATGGCATGAATTATCTTGTTTCAGCTACACTTTTTTAATTACGTTGAACAGGTCGAGTAATCTACCTTATATGGATATTGTTGTCATTACGGCCAGCGGTGCTTGAGCCGAAAAGCATGATGGTCTACTACATGTCTATATTTTACTACAAGCACGCGGGTCAGGCAAATTTAGGACGCGATTTCAAGTTATTGCGGGAAAGTCAACTAATAATTATTTTTAATGTCTTTGTGAAAAATACAAAGAGTAGGTCCAAGTTAAGTTTTCCCATGGTCATATTAACAAACAAAGTCAACTTGTTAAATAGTACGTTGAAATACCGCTCACAACGTCTTCACAAGTAAATAAGAATCCAGTTTTTATAACTTGATATTCATAAATTTGCCATGCTACTGGTGTTATTCGTTGTAGCTTTATTATAAGTTTACTAGAAATTAAAAGTTAATGCATTTATTAAAAAAAAAAACAAACTTATTGCTGCACCGCATTTATTTACACAGTATTAATTCTCATGTACATTGATCATGAGTGATTGAGTAGCATATATATATATATATATATATATATATATATATATATATATATATATATATATATATATATATATATATATATATATATATATATATATATATATATATCGTTAATAAACAATGACAATATGTGAGTACACCTCAGAGTCGATTGTTTTGGACCAGGGAATAGTCACGTGAAATTCATATTCACGGACACATGTAGTACAACACGGTAAAAGCTGCCAGGCAATTGTCAATAAACGGATTTGAAAAACTGGCCTTTTTTAAACGTACATGTAATATTTTTTGAAGAGACCCATAATGCAACTCATTTAGCCGATTGGTCGGTTTGTCAGTCACGTTGGTGTCTCATATAGCATGTAGATTTATTCTGACGTCACAGAAAATAGTTTCCTCGACCTATTGAAAGTAAGGATAAAAATCTGCGGTTTTTTTACTGCTAAAACAAATTTTTGTTTTTACCAATATTACATTTTCTTTTTAATTCTACCCTACAATGGAATAAAGAGATTTGCAACCCTGAAGACCTTTTGAGTTCATTTTTGCTTCCGGAATCGACGGTTTGCACATGTAAATGATTATTCCATTTTTCTTCAGCGGAAATATACATCCTTATTTTACAAGAAATACTTGTTAAAAAGTATTTTTAATATATTTTTTCTTCCACTAATGGTAAATTCTTAAAATTCGAAATGCACAAACGGCGGGCCTTTCTTGTCACCCGAAACTTTTTACACACATGGATGAACAAATTAAAGCAGTCCCGGGATTTATGAAACTATTAGGATCTTTTCTAGCGCAGTTTCAGAGCAGAAACACAACAGTCCCTCGTCCCAGAGTGTTCGTTAAAGCAAAATAAGCTGCATTTTGGAATATTTTATTTTGCTGTTAAAATGTGTGATAAATTTGTATGTAATTTAAAGCTTTAAGATCAATTAGACTAATATAAAGTATGAAACTGTCTCAAAAGAAAGTACAATCGAATATATAGTATTATATAAGAAATCAATACTGTACAGGACGACAATAATGTAACTTTGCTTCAATCAAAGCTGATAAATAGTTCTTCCATCGCGAATATGAACAACAGAAGTTTATTAATGTTAACTTTCTCTCTCACCGAAATAGTTTATTACAATTTTGCAGCCAAAATTTCAGACATCAAAGTTGCAGCTCATATTGCTTTAAGCAGTGTCACAGCGTTCCCATATAGTCTCAAATTTCGAAAAAGCAGTCACAGATTAGTCTTTTCTGGAACGTCTTGTTTGTCAATTTGGGTCTGGTTGGTATTGTACATGTTGCTCAACATGCCTATCTAAACAAGCCATATTAACGGTCCATATCTAAATTGAACTAACAAGCGTTTATTACCATGAGGTAACTTTAACTCCCTCTGAATAGACTGGATTTGACCTGCAAAATATAAAAGTGACATATTCAAATAAAGTATAATGATGTATAATATTATCAGAATGGTTAATTAGCAGAGTGATGTCCCTAAATGTCATATTTATCATATATGTCTTTATATACAAGTATTTCAAAACATAGATATTGTTTTACAAGCTCAACTCCCACTTACTTGAAAGATTATGAAAGTCTCCAAGTAATTCAATGTTTTTTTTCTCTTGTTCTGGATCCATTGAGCAGGTTTCGATTGTGTTGATGGCATCCTGGTAAATCCCTGTTGTTCCAAGGTATCTCTCTAATTCCATAATGATGTCCCGGATGTTCCGCAATTCCGCTTTAAAATTTGATTCGGACAAAGACAGGTCAGCTGCATGTCCATAATACTTATTCCTGACTAGCCGAAGTCTTTCAATGTTTGCTGCAACGCTTCTGTCTCCGGGTTTTGGAATTTTTTCCCAACCTTCCGAATGTTGAGGTATTTTGCTGACATTTCGTAGAAGTATGTATAGTAAAGATATGTCTAAATCTGAATAATCGCCACTGTATTGTTTCTCTGGTAATGGGAAAAGGATCTCTGATTGTATTTTATTGAGTGGATTTCTATTTCCACGTTTTAGTTGTTTATCTGTAAATTCTTTTACTTTTTTCGACAATTCAGATGGTAACACTTCTGTCTTAAGAATTTCACGTAACACGTCGGTACAGGGACCTAGTATAAGTCTTGCCAGTCGAGCAATATTTGTTGTTTCTTGGGTAGATGCATACTTTGATAAAGACATGTTGACAGTGTAGAAATTGTCACCTGATGGTCATCAAATCTATAAAATATAATTAATATATTTGAAAGCATTGATGTTACTCTTTCATGGACTGATAAACAATATGAATGAAATCAAATGAATTTTTATAGAAGATTTCAATTCTGATTAAAGAGATATGATTGTGGCATGGCCTAACTATACTTTTGGTCTGAATACCACAATTAGCTTCAATTATGTATACAAAAAGTAATGGATAAAGACTTAGTAAATTCATCTTAGACAAGAAAATATTCGTGTTCTTATCTTTTGTCAACTTCTAAGATTAATGGGGATGTTTCATTATCAAGTGTTTTTGACGAAAGGGAAGTACTTAGTTATATTATACTTATATCATGTAAATAAGTTGAATCTGATTCGTCGAGAAACATTTGTTAAAAAACACTATTACCCGCTGAATGATGAAGCCACGCCCTCCAGCGTAGCAACAGTAAACATTGCTTGACGACGGGTGATATTCCAAAAAATAGTGACTTGGCAGAATTTATGCACGCACTGTTCACTGTTATATGTATTTGTATAAAACATTCAGTATAATATAATAAATACTGCGCCTCGGTTGACAATGGTTTTCTTGGGGTGAAAATTTTCAATGTTACACTCAACTACATGCAATATTTATATAAGCACGCTTGATATTAAGGAGGGATTCTTCTCATAAGAACACTTATTTCTTATATTTAAAAGTCAAAGAAATTTTCACAAAATCAAGAAGACAATATCACTAGGTGATGGTATCGGTTGGATTAAATTTGACCGTTTTATATTAGAAGCAAGGTCAGGTCAAGGTCAGTACCTTTTCCCTGAACATTAAGAATAAAAAATTACTGTTGCCAATCATGCGATGCCTACTTCTACTTCAATAAATTAAATGTTTTTCTTTTTGCATAAAGAGATATTACCATAAAGGGTCTATAAGATGATATTACCAAATTGACATAAATAATTTAACTAAAATGGATATTGGCTAATCTGAATTTTCTCTATTTTTCTTAAGATTTTAAGATATTTTAGTTATTTTTATATGCTTGCTATATTTAAATTTTTCTTATTTTCACAGATGGTAAAGTTGTCACATAAAGGTACAAAATGATATAAAAACAAAAAGTTTTGACCGTTTAGTAAGAAAAAAAAAACACTTTTTACGAATTTTTGTCTCAAAACTGAACTTAGATTGGAAGCTTTTAAAAGCTAACATAATTGTAGTTTGCTTGGAAAATCATATTCATTTGATATATTTTAAAACTTTAGCCCCTTATTATTAATTTCACTTACATTTAAAAATTTTCCCAAGTCTTTGATTGTGTAAAAATTATAATTAAATTCATTGTTCTATAATTATTTTGAGAGGCAGAAAAGAAGATATTTTCATACGCCGCCATTCCGCCAAAAATACAGTCCCTGCTAAATTTCAAACTCAATTTACCATTTCTATTTAAAGTTGTACAAGTGTGATGAGGAAAGAAAAATATGATCTTTTAAATCTCTTACATCTAAATATACAAAACATATAAGCAAATATACTTTGAATATTTCATCTAGTCAGAAACCAGACAAGAATCCCTCCTTAAAGTGCATGATAGATTTTGCGAGAGACCTGCCTAAAAGTCGGGTAAATTTAGTGAAATTTAGACACTCAGGTACCATTGTCAGACAAGAATGGACCAAGGAAGGAAATTCCATGTATTCATATTTTATGGAAAAACATTAATTATTGAATCATTCATTGCATTAATTTTGATATGAAACGACGAGTTTATTTTATTTAATGCAGAATTTTAGAATCTTGAAAGTTAGAAAATATATTTGATGGAATATCAGGACCTAATATAGATTAATAAAATATGACACAATCTGAATCCACATTAAACATGCTTACTACAAAACGTTACTGAAAGATTTCGAGAGAAGAGAGATGCATGCTGATTAATAAGTCCTACTGACCATTCTTTCAAATGCTCCAAGTCTTCACTGGATTTAATTTGTGTAACTTGCAAATATGCATAAAAAGTATGGAGGATTAAATAAAAAAAAAACCCCGATTCAAGTCACAAACTATTTATGATATCAGAATCTTGTGACTTTTGAGTGTCATCAACAGATGACTAATCAAGTACTTTAAATGCGACTGAGTTGTTAACGGAAATAAACATGATCTCTAAGGGATTGTCTAGAGACAAATGTTATATTATATCATGTTATATTAGTGGTTTAAACAGATATAAGTGTAGTGATTCAAATATAGTAATCTATATTTCATTTTAACACTTTATTTCGCCTAGAGAAGCTTTCACTAAATCTTCAGTTACATATTCCATGTTTTAAATTGAATTTAACTATCCATGATTTACATTTATATACGGTAGGACAACTTACACTAAATGAAATAAAAAATACTAAAATGCCTTGATTGGCTTGTTTGCATAGCACAGGCGGGTATAAACTCAAAGGCTTCAAAATTATCATTCAATATTTAAAAGAACAATATAAGTTATAAAGACAGAGAACTTTCATTTTTTGATTAACACATTCCTGCGACATAATCATGTATAACATTAAATACGAAGGTTGTCCCAGTTAAACGTTAGCTTTTTACATATTTACTAGATCAGAAGTATTTATTTCTGACATTATTAGGATATCATATTTTCGTTATTTTGACCAGATATTGTAAGTGTTTATATGCATGTAGCACCAGTATTTAAAGGGCTCTAAAATTCGTTGGTCGACGCACCACATGCATTTTTTCGACTTTTACAAAAAAGCATTGCCAGCGTTTTTTTTTTAAATATTAACATGTTGGATAGAAATATATATTTGACAAAAACATTTTATTAATAAAAACTTTATAACATTAAGGTCTAGACTGCTTATTTTTAAAATTTCATTAAATAGACATCATTAATTACAAAAATATTACGATATATGCATAAATACATTTCGTTAGATATTGTCAAAAATGGCGACGCTGCCTGATAATACCCAAATTATCATATGGTACTGTGTTGAAAATGTTATGATTTTTCATCATATGGTGAAAGAGATGGAAACGATGAATAAGGTAAAAACATATGGCAAATCAAATCAAATCCAGCACAGTTTCAAAAATATTTCTAAAAACGTTCGATTCCTTACAAATACAAAATCAAATTTACATAAAAAATACATACACCACAGCAAAAAACTGATGGAAAATCCAGATAGGAAAATGTCACATCAACATACAAATTATGAACTGAAACAGGAAAACACCCATTACAGTTAAACTTGAAGATGTTAATTTTTAAAAACTTCGTGAATATTTCGGAAGAGGAAGATGATTCAGCGTAACTTAAGTATATCTCAGTATGCACTGTTATGCACTGCTACAACGCAAATGTAATTCTGATCGAAAGTGTAAAAACTGAGGTTACAACTGGATTATTACATTTTGCATTATTACATTCTTCGTCTAGATTAACTCAAATTGTAATAAAATACTTGATGATTTTAATATCAAATTTTTTTAATTTCTGCCGATGCTACATAGTATTAAAAATAAAATAAATCCTCATTTTGTGTTCCTAACGTTCTGTGCCGAAATTTAAACAAACTTTATAAACACAAATAATATTAATTACTTGTATTACAAGAGCTGAGAAATGAGAAAGTGGTTTTGTTATATTTCCTGGACGCTGCCATTGATACGTGTATACATAAGAAGTACATGTTTTTTCTCAATCCCCAGGATAAAAAGGACTCCAACATGGACAGCTTTACGAGTACACACTGGTGAGTGTTTTCAAAGGATGTTCCTTTATATAAAACCAGCTTTATGTAATAAAATAAATTTCTGTTTGAAATTCATATTATTCATTGAAGGAACACTTCTTTACAAATAACAATTTAAACTACAAACAAAGAAATTGGGTAAATTTAGATGAATAACATTATGTGTTTTAAAAAATTAATTTGCAACAAGGATACATTTAAAAAGGCTTGAAACGACCCTCAATGCAAAATTTGAGAATGAACAGAATGTGCATTTATTCATAATTAACAATTATCATTCATTGCTTTTCTTTATCCTCGCTTTTTTTCATTTGCGAGAGCAAAATATTTGTGAATAAAATTTAGGTTTGAAATATTGCATAGGAAACTGCAGAAATATTGTGCAACAGCATATTCAGGAAGTGATGTGAATCAAATATGGATTCTAGAAAAATGTTCAAACAAGAGGCCCATGGGCCACAACGCTCACCTGAGTTACTTTGACCCTGTTATTCTTCACCAGACCCCCTTCCCGTGTAATACTTATTGCGGCCCCGCTCTACCCCAGGGGGCCATGATTTGAATAATTTAAAATTTACACTACCCAAGGATGCTTTCACATAAGTTTCAGCTTTTCTGGCCCAGCGGTTCTTGAGAAGAAAATTGTTAAAGATTTTGCCTATATATTTCAATGTAAAACTTTGATTTCCTATTGTGGCCCCGCCCTACCGCCGAGGGCCATGATTTGAACAATTTATAATTTACACTACCCCAGAATGCTTCCCTATAAGTTTCAGCTTTTCTGGCCCTGTGGTTCTTGAGAAGAAGATATTTTAATAACCCAACCCTATTTTTGTCTTCTTCTTGATTATTTCCCCTTGTAAATGGGGGGGGGGGGGGGCTTCATTTTAACAATATTAAATCCCCCTTCCTAAAGAATGCTCTGTATCCAACTTTGGTTAAAATTGGCTCAGTGGTTCTTGTGAAGTTGAAAATGTGAAAAGTTTACAGACGGACAGACAGACAGCTACATAGACAGACAAACGGACGGACGACGGACAACAGGTGATCAGAAAAGCTCACTTGAGCTTTCAGATCAGGTGAGCTAAAAGCCTATGGAAATTTTAAAATCTTACGTCAGTAAATAATTAGGACTTCCTCACAAATACATGTAACTTTACTCGGTTCACTAAATTTTTGAATTTACTATTTAAAATAGCTTAAGCAATTCCATACTTAGATTTCTTCTTCTACAGAATACAAACTAGTGTTTATGATTATGGATGTTGCGCAGCGAGGACCATGAAGCCACCAAGTGTGTGGAAAGATAATTCTGACACTAACTGTCGGTTCCCTTTCACTTAAATTTGCCAACAAAGGAATAAATGCTGTGAACTTTAGTAAAATTCTTAATCATAAAAATGTTCAGCTGAGATTTCAGTCATATTCTAAGTTGAAGTTAACACACTTTATTTCCTGAAGATATTTCAAAAATATTGTTTCCAAGCTTTTCTATCATGAGAAACTTTACTGGCGATACTATAACCGGCATATATAGTAAAAATTGAAAACCTAAAAGCAATCCTATTAAATTTATCCACGTACATGTGTATATACATTAGGTCGCTTTTTTAAAAATCAAAATTTGTGTTCTTGACTTGTCTTTTTATAAATAAAAATAAAAATAATATTAATATCGAAAAGTTTTTTTCATTTCTTAGTATTTTATCTTTACTTAACTTCGCTATAAGGAAAACCACTGTGATAGCCTTAGATCAATATCGAATAAAGTTTGTAAGGGAGTATATAATTAAAACAATCATTCTGAGAGTATTGCATTAGCAATATTAGTCCCCTACCGGCAAGTGTAATCTGGTTCCCGCTAAAAATTGAAAAAGCCATAATTCCGTCAAAAATCAATGAAGCAGGACGAAATGCGAACTTGATCTATAACTCATCAAGTTTAAGTCACATGCCAAAAATCAGCTCAATATATGCAGGCGTTTAGAAAAAAATTGCGGAAAACCCTGAAAAATTGAAAAGGTTGTAATTCCGTCAAAAATCATTGAAGTGGAACGAAATGCAAACTTGTTCTATAACTAATCTAGGTAAAGTCACATACCAAAAATCAGCTCAATATCTGAAAGGGTTTAGAAAAAATTGCGGAAAACTCTTAAAAATTGAAAAGGCCATAATTCCGTCAAAAATCAATGAAGTGGAACGAAATGCAAACTTGGTCTGTAACTAATCAAGATACACTCACATACCAAAAATCAGCTCAATATATGCAAGCATTTAGAAAAAAATGCGGAAAACCAAGTGGGACAGACTGACAGACAGAGGGACGGACAGACTCAGAGGAAACCTATAGTCCCCTCCGGTTTCACCGGTAGGGGACTAATAAATCAGGTTACATTCAATTCTTCTAATCAATTACCCCTATTATGAAGTGATAAAGAAGTAAGGAAAAGAAAAGAAGAAAAAAGAGTGACTGAAAAGAAAAGGAACGAAAGAAAGAAAAAGTAAATAAATAAACAAACCAAGAAAGAAATTCAATGTAAATATTAAATATATTAATTGGTCTTCACTAGAAATTTGCTGGACGAACTTCTCTGATAAAAACATCCTTTACAAACGAAGTTGATCGATGTCTATTTACATCTAGTTCGTTTTTGTTATTTTCGAAGAAGCACTTTCGGTTTCGTAATTTAGTAAACATTCAATTTCCCTTTCAGGTATTATCCTTGAAGACATGAACCCTTCATAGAGTTCACAAGAATTGCTTGCTTCTAATGTGGTCCATCCATCTTCATCCTCTCTATCTGCTGGTAATGTTGCTGAAGGAGAAGGCTCAGGTATGGATTCAATTGAACTGGAATCCTCATCCGGAAACGAAAATTGGCTGGATTCTTTTGAGATATTTCCAGCTTTATTTTTGTATATCATGGAGTTGATTGTGTTGGTACCTTCAACAGGCATGTACTTGCCAGTGAAATCTTTTGTGAGATTTTCAGTTTTATAATTTTTTAGTTTTGGTGATTGGGTTGAACTGTTTATTTTGGATCCCGAGTTAGATGATTTTACGGAAGGGATATTCCTCATCGAAGATAGCATAAAGGGTGTCCTTTTCCCTGCAAATTTCAAAAGGTGAATCTATAGACTTTTCTGTATCCTGATGAACATCATTTTCGTCTCCGTGCCTGAGAGACTTGAATTTGGACACTTTGTGTTGAAACAAAT